TCAAATAATTAATTTGTTCTGCTGTGTAGAATCTTGTAGAAAAATGTACAGTTTTAATTTACATGTGTGGAGAGAGGTCCTTTTTGAAAGAATTATTTTCCATTAAAATTGCCCATGCTCTTTTTTCCTAATGAAACCTATGATCATATTCTTCCTTATTGTTGACTTAAAAATAATAGCATAGAGAGATGACTAACTAAATTCTAGGAAAACCATCAATACAAATGTACGGTTCTCTGGAACTACCCCATTTCTAATTAATTGCACTGTCCTGAAGAATTTGTGACTTCTAGAAAATGAGAGGGGAGAAAATACTGCAGCTGAATGCTGAGGGGAGGGTAATAAGGGAGTTACATACATCTTTTTTAGAAATTAAAAGATTGTTTATAGGATTCAGTGATTCCAGAAGTAATGCTGAATAGATACCAGCCATGGTTTTAACATGTGGACGCGTTCTAAAGAAGGATTTTGCCGTACTAGACTTACCCTTCTGTTTCCAACTATATGTGACTCACAAAGATTTTAGAAACTTAGAGTTGCTGATTTTCAGATGTTTATGGTTTTTGCTATGAATGAAGTGGGTTTTATCCTGGAATTGCAAAACAATTAGCATAAATTATTTAGCATAATTAATAATAATTAACATAAATTCCATAAATTATTATCAGAATTTTAAAAATCATATAACAGCTAAAGTAGTTTCAGGAAAGGCACCTGTTGCTGTAGTCAATTGTGTAATATGCCTTATTTAGTTAGGGAAATTGATCTGGTAGGTACAGAAGAATACTTTGTTTCATTAACCTATCATTGAGTGCTACTCTTTGTGGTGGCTTCTAATTTGACTGTTTACTCAGCGCTATAGATTACCTGTTTTTAAAGAAATGTCCAAAATCAAACTGAGCTTTCTATGCAACTGGCTTCTAGTTTCTACTGAATAACAAGGAAAGAATAAACTTAATCTAGCTGTAGCTGTTCTATTACTCTTGCCTTACCTGTTCCCAGTTAATACCCCCCCCAAAAATGTAAAAATGCTACCTTGAAGTAGAAGAGGTGGAAAGTCTCATGATGTAAAAAAAGGAGTCTTAGGAGATGATTAATATGTTTGGAATGATGGAATGAGTGCAGGAATAGAGGAGGATGTTGCAGCCTTGGTTTGATAGCTGTCCTTGTTTTGAGCTATTCCATTTACCTTTTTTACCACAGTTTGAGAGAAGGAATATTGGCCATGTAACTAGCACTCAGAAGGCAGGTGCCGGTTTCTGTGAGGTCGGTTTTGTGCCGGAAGAAGTGTTCATTAGGGAAGGGTTAGGCAGCATGGTTACTTGTCGTGCCTGCTTGTTCACTTTCACTGTGCGGCCTCACAGAGAACTGGCGCAAGCAGCTCACTAAGGCTAAGCAGCTGCCTAACCCCACGCAGTTGTGCTGTGGAAACTGAAATGGATCTGTTGGCACAAGGGCAGTGTGAACTCCTGTCTCTGCTTAAAGCAGTGCTTGTCAGGTGTCTATGAACTGTGGACAAGAAAGTATGTCAAGGTAGCTTTATAAGCAGGATTTGGCTATTCTTTTGACTGTTTTTCAGCTGGACTTAAAAACTGCATAACTAAGAAGTACCAGTGGAGTTTTCTTTGTGAAAAACTCGTGTACCAAGAGAGATTAGGGGCATGGTAGGACTCTCTAGCCTCTGAAGAAAGATTCAATTAGAATCCTCTAAGACATTATCTAGGGCACACTACCCTATTATGTGGAGTTTTTCAACACTAAAGGCCTTGCAAACCCAGAGCAGCCTGGAGCCGATCTTTGCCACTACATTAAATGCTTCATGTTACAAATTATCTTAAAAATATCTCTTTCACCTCTATGTGGGAAAGAAAGAGATGGAACAAACAGTCTTTACAGACTGAAGTTTTGTAATTTCTTCGTGTATTCTGTATGAGCAGAATTGTGAAAACACTGAAGAAGTAAATGTCATCTTTTTCATTAATTCAGAGTACCTCAAACATACACATTTTGTACTTCTACTTGGGCATGATGTCAGTTTATCTTTGCAATCTTCTACAACATTTTTGCATTTGGTTTGGTTTTGCTTTGTCAGTGAATGAGAAGGCTTATCATTTGTAAGCTGCCTAAACAAGGAGATGATGAAAAGCATCTTTTTAGTATTTTTCTACTTGAGAAATACCTTGATCAGCCACCTGAGAAAACACTGGCATTCCGAGCAGTTTTCATATACTACATTCTTCCAAGGGGCATGCTATAGTTTATGAATGCACTGTAATTGTTTGGGTGAGTATATAGCTTAGTATTGATACTAAAAGTTAAAAATTGGAGTAGTGTTTCAGTGGAGCACTCAGACAATAACAAAAAGTATAACCAAAATCTTCAGGTAAGATTCTAAATTATCCTGTAAGAAACTAAGTTTTGTAGTCAGGGCTCTAGAGTTAGCAAGCCTAGGCCAGGCCAATTATTCTATTCAGTGTCTTGATTTAATGTTTAATTGTTTTGCTTTTTAATGCAATCATAGTGAAAAGTATGGAAATTTAAAAATACTCCTTGTATCAGTTTGAAGATAGGAAGACAGACATTTGAAATGATGATGGTTCCCTGTATTGTAAGAAGCCCAAAACTTTGTTGATCTTTTATTAAACCAAATAAAACAGTTGCATAGCTGATAAGCTTGGGGTTTAAAGAGTTTCTCTGTGTTTTTGCTGCTGTAGTGGGTTAATGGTTATGAGTGTAATGGCAAAATCTAGGGAACTGTCTTAGGATATACTGACTGAATGACGTGTCAGTTGTAAGTACAGGCACATGTCATGGATGAGGGTTGTAATTTAAGTATAATTTTTCTCCTGTCGAAGCTGGTTTAGTCCACCATCCTGGAGCAGCAGTTCATTGTGTGCTGCAGTGAGCTACAGCTTCAGTTTTATGGATACAGGCCAGTTACACAGAGTTGTAAAACAGGTCACTGCAGCCATCTGCATTGTATTTCTTTGTGTGTGTGTGCTAAAAATGAAAGAGGTTGGAAAATATTTTCTTCTGAAAATGTTTGAGGTGTTTTTTTTAATACTGGTGTATATAAAATTAAATATGAGATTGTAAGAATATATGCTGAACATGGTAATACACCACATGTTTTTCCACAGCCTTCTGGAAGTATGCAGACGTTTCTTCTGTTAAATAAATGCTAAGTTAAAAACCAAGTTAAAGTCCCCACAACAGGGGTTGTGTCAGTAGCGGTTTTTCTTCCTGCCCTCCAGTAAATAAAAGGAAGGTTTGGTGTAATAAAGGACAATCATTAATACTTTCTACTACATCTGCACATACAGCTTTTGTTTAATTAGCATGATATGCATTTTACAGTCTAAATATGCTCTTTAGGTGCAATACCTGAGTGCTGGTATACTCAAAGTAGTGCGAATAGCTGAAAATTAATATCAGTATTGCATGTTAATTACATTCTAGTATCTGTGCAAATACAGTGTAATATGCATGACATCTAGTAACCATTTAATTGACAGGTCTTTAAAATACAGGGTTTATATTTTTTAGTTCTCCTAATGTAAAAATGATTTTGCTGTGTGTCACAATTAGATGTTGTATTTAAATATACTGTTAAGATGCAGTTTCATAGTTAAAAATAAGTCTTTACTGTTGCTGGAAAGGAATGAACACACTCATGTTTTCTGCCATTCACACTAACACCTGTGCTCCTTGACGAGCAGCTAAATTTGGCTGAAAAGGTTTTTAAGCACTCTAGCCTAGTCACAGTCTTCTGTTGTGAATGACTTTCCCACACTAGGGAAGCAGCAGGAACACGTGATTAGCAAGGATGAGGAGAATCTAATTGCTCCTTTTATCACAGACCCCATATAAGCCAGTACTCTGAGCAGTGTTTTTGGAGCCAATGCAAGCCAACATGATGGCTTTTCCTTACCCTTTGCAGTGGATCCTGCCACTTCTCAATGTCTCTTACAGCTGAATAGCTAAAGTAGCTCAGCTCAGAATGCTGGTAGGCTGGAGAATTGATTAATCTCATAGGATAACTCTTGGGCACTGGGCTTGATTCAAGATAAACAGTTCATGCGCATGTGGGAATGTTGGACCAAAGGCAATGGGAAGTTCTCTTTCCACCAAAGAGATGAGAAGCTATTTGGATCAACTTATTCCATCTTGCAGAATCACTCCCTTGGTCTCCATTTTCCATTAAAATGCTTTTATGGAAGAGAGTGGTGAAAGTTTCAGGAAATGTAACTGCCTTTCAGAGGTGTTTTGTTTGTTCAAGGTATACCTTATTTCTTGTTGGCATTTTGAAGTTGATGCTTGGCTGGGATGTTACAGCAGTCTTAATGAGTAAACAGATGTAACTGGAGCTAGATGCTGATTTTTGAATAAAGGACCTGTAGTACTCAAACTCTTTTCTGTCAGTAGTTAGAGTCTCAAATTGTTAACATTCTTAAAGCAAATACCTTGATCTTTCTCCTAAGAATTCGATGGTAAGACTTATATATTTTTAAAAACTGTACTGAAACCAATTTTTTTTTTAATGTGCCATGGGTGTGTTTAAATATATGTCAAATTAATTTTGCTCAAGGTCCCCTGTGTCCTGTTGCAAATGCAGATTTTACCTGTGTGGCTGTGCATTTATGGAAGTAATGTATTGCAGACACAAAGCCTACAGCCAGCTCATTTCTTTTCTTAAGCAAGTTTTCTTAACCATGTTATTCTTGGTATTTTAGAAAGGGTAGTGGGATAGATTTAAATCAGTGTAACATATTTAAATCAGTGTAACATATTTAAATCAATAGTGTAATATAGCTGAATTTGCTGATTTATTGAGACATGGGAAAAAATTATGTTGTTGGCATTTTTTTTCCTGAAAAACAAGGTCCTGGCAGTTGTGGTATTGTGTATAGGAAGGGGGTGTTCTTGGGAAGAATAAGTAAAGGGAGTTGGTGCACTTTTATATTGAGCTTTACTAGTAATCTTGTCTTTTATTTCTTTAGTGCGGTCCTGACAAGCTGCTTCTGGTGTCAGTAACAGACCTTCTACCATGAGCAATTCTACTCCAGCTACAGGTATACATAAAAAAAAAAAAAACCCTCAAAGTTCTTCAGCTGTTCTCTCTCTCTGTTGTTTTTTTTTTCTTTCATTGTTTTGTGTGTGTGTTGAGGAAGATGCAGTAAGTGTATATATTTGTTTACCTGTAGTTTTAGACCAGACAGGAAGTTGAAAGTGAGAGAAAGCTGGTACAGCTTTTGTTAATATTACTTCCAGCATTAGGTGTACATGGAGTGTTAATGACCAATGGTTGCATGAAGTAACTTTATGTCAAATAAATTAACTAAATCATGACCTAGACAATTGCCTGTCAGCAGTGGTTTCCAAATAGTTTATTTTATATCAGGGCAAAGGACAGAGCAGATCACCTTTTGTGATCTTAGACACCAAGTGTCTAAGACTTGCTGTATTTTTGGTGGGGAAGGAGGAGTCTGAGGAGCTAACTTGAAGATTTTTCTTTTTTATTTCTTTGACTTGCACATGTCAGGTTGTTTATACTTCTGCTGATCAATTCAATGTGATGTCCAAATGTTTCTGCTTGGCTTGAAATAGCATTAGCTTATAGCTCAGCAATGTAATAGCTGAAATATATATTATTAATTAACAGTGCATTGACTGATCCTTCACAGTGGTATCCAAGATGTCTAAATGATATAGAGGTTTTTGGAATATATTACTAGGTGTTCTCATTAATAATCATATAAATCTAAAATAAAATATGATCACTATTGAAATGCATCTTTTTACCCAATACAGCTGCTCCAGCTGCAGGTCTTGTTTTTTGTTGTTATGTTTGGGGTTTTGGGGCTTTTTTGGTCTGGTGGGTCACATATCTAAAATGTATAACTTTCTACCTCAGGCTATGCAGGGAATACATTTGTACTGGTCATGAATTGTGATTGTAATGAATTTCCCTTTGTACATCAGGAACCAATTTTCACTTTGTGCATAAGGGTTTTTTTGGTCTGTCTGAAAGCATTTTTTACTTTCACTCAGTTGAGAGTACAATTCAGAAAGGTGATCAGCTTTGGCATGCTTTAAAGAAATGTTGAATCAATTTTGAAGTTTAGATGTTGGAAGATACAGATGGTTATCACTCTGCATCAAAATTAGTATTGAACCACAGCTGGAGAAAGAAGCACGGTTTAAAAAACTATGAGGTTTTATATTTGAGATGTGCTAGGTTTTATTGCCGATTTAGTAACTTAGGTAAAGTTTCACAAGAAAATAAACACTTCAACAGTTTGCCACTTAGCTCCATTTTGTCACCTCTGACAATGTGTCAGAACCCAGAAGATACTGCTTCTGCAAGAGTCTCTCATATAAAACTAGAGGTGAAATTCATTCTAGGCTTCATTAACTGCTTTCTTTGGTCAAGCATTCCTTGACTTAATACTAAGTCAGGGACATCTTGTAAATTTTGAACCTGAAAAGTAACAAAATATGTTGTTAGAGTTTACTAGTAATATGTCCTGTCGTGGCTTGGTACCAATATGTGTTTAATATGGTCATGTTTGTCTTAAAGTTCGCATTTTTCAGAACACATACAGAGCACATGAAGCCATTTAAAATTTCTTGATGGAAAAATGAATGCATAGCAGACTTTTCAGTTTTGCAGGTGGGAGAATTGTTAAGTGTGCTATAGTTGGGGCTTTTATCATCCATCTTGAAATTTTACAGGCTTCCAGTAATAAAAAGACCCTCTGTAAACATCCTTATGCAGAATGACTTGTGTGAACCAGTTCTCAGCCTTAGACTGTATGCAAAACCTACAGCAAAACCTTATAAAGTTCCTACAGAAATTTCTTCTCAATCTATTGTGTTTCTCCTTGGAAGGCTAAATGCAACAGATTAGATATTAAGGCTATCTCTCTTGCCTCCATTGCAACTGCTTCTAGAACAATATGCTTGTTCCAGATATGGTGTTCTGCTTTAAAGTGCTCTCAAGGATACTGAGTAATGTTCCTGAAATTCAGTCATTGGTCACTTACCAATCCAAATTTGTCCCTTACAGGATCCAAACAGGCATATGTTCAAAAAAACCCCACGTCTGGCAGTATGTCAAAGTGGAAGATGTAAGAGTTTGTATGGATTTCATGCTGTCTTTCTCAAAGACTTTTTAAAACTTAAAATAATTTGGAACAGCAGGCTTTCTTTAATAAAGTAAAAACAAACTCAAAACCTCAAGTTAGCAATTCAGTCACAGCAAGACAAGTTGGTGATAAAAGGAAAATTAATGTATTACCTCCCAATTGGGACTTTCCCCTCTTTTGTGCAACTAATATTTTATAGATATCTTATGTAGGCATTTGGGGAGAAGTTACTGACCTCCCATTAAAAAAAAACAAAACAACAGCAAACCAAAACCAAATCTTCAGAAAATAAACAAGTCCAAAGCAAAGCCAGACATACGCCACCCTCCCCTTGCTATCAAGATTTGGAATAGCTGATGATACCTTCTTACACTGTCCCTTTGTTAGATATGGAATATCCTTTCTTAGGGTTCAAAGAAATAAGTACCTAAGTCAATGTCAGTGCTGAGGCAGCAGTTTATCTCCTTAAGGTTTTGATATGTATGCTGTGCAATGGGTTTGTCTTGTTTACTTGTCTGTCTCCCTCCCTAAAATATTTTAGATAATGAGAAGAAAAAAAGTAAAGGAAAAAGATCTCCGTGTTCCCCTTCACGTGTCCTTCATATTCGTCAAATTCCAAACGGTGTTACTGGAGCAGAAGTTGTTTCATTAGGTCTCCCTTTTGGCAAAGTAACCAATCTGTTGATGCTAAGAGGAAAAGGTCAGGTACGTAGTTTTCAATGTCTCAATAACAAGAGCAAGACTGAAGATGTGGTTCATGTTATGATAATTTTGATCTTGATCTTGAGTGAAATGATTGCAACAATGTCTAAATATTTCATTGATAGCAGAAGATTTTCATATTTTTAAATGTGAAAGGATGTTTTGAAATTTAAGTTTTTAATATGCTTTCAGATTACGTAATGAACTAGAAATTTGTTGATAATATTGCTAAACATTATATCCACTTTATGTGAAAACATATAGATGATCAAGAACTGCATTGTCACTGTTGATGACACAGTGACAATGAGCCTGCCTGCTTAAGTTACTGACATGCATGTAATTTTTTGACATCTTTTAATCCTGTTAGATGTGGCAGAGTAGTTTGTGTCATGAAGAAGCACAGAAATCCTAAAAATAATAAACATTCATACAAAAATTGGATTAATACAATGCATAAACTAATGGATGTTTAATGTTCTGTTCCAGCTTTTTCAATCAGTATGCATATCAGCTACTTAGGTAATAGTGCTTGATTTCAGGAATTTAGCAAATTGATTAGCAGTGTAGTACTTTTAGCTGCATTACTTTCCATATGTCATACTTATTCCACCTCTTCTTAGATGATGTAGTGTACTTACAATGTAAAACTTTCTATGAAAACACACAAATTGAATAAAACAGCCCCATAAACATGCACACCCAAATGCATTCTAATGCTGAGGAAATCAGTATTGTACTTTCACATAATCTTTTTCTAGTGAGAGTGGAATTGGGAAAAAACTATGCTTTTTTTCTCTCTTGTAAACAAAACCAGCTTTGAAATTGTCTGTGTATTGGTTGCAGGCATTTTTGGAAATGGCTTCTGTAGATGCTGCTGTTTCTATGGTGAACTACTACACTCCTGCTACACCTCACCTCCACAATCAGCCAGTTTATATTCAGTATTCCAATTACAAGGAACTTAAGACTGACAATCAGCATAATCAGGCTGTAAGTACAATATTTCCATTTAACAGGATATAATTGCATGAGTTGTGAATGCATGTGTTAATACAGAAAGTATTAAGGTTGTTTTCTGCTTCTCACGTTGCCCTGCCTGTGATAGTGCTCAAGAAGATGGAAAGGATCTCAACTAGGACAGTTGATCCCAACTGACCCAAGGGATGTTGGGCTCAGCATTGAAAACTGGGGGAAGGATGAGGAATGTTCAGAGTTGTGGCCTTTTTCTTTCCAAGGAATTGTTACACTCAGTGAAGTTCCTACTTTCTTGGAAATGTTTAAACACCTCTCTGCCAATGGGGGAGGTGTTTAAATACCTTGTTTTGCCTTACTTGCATATGCAGCTATTGCTTTGCCTGTTCAACTGTCTGTAAATGACAGTTTTCTCACTTCTACACTTCCAATTCCCTGTCCCGTTGTGCTAAGGGAAGGTGACTGAGTAGTTGGGTGGCACTTTGCTGCATACCAGGGTTAAACCACAACACTAGTAAATAAACAGCTGCACTTCACTATACCAGTAGATAAATTCTGATATATATAATTTCAGTAACTTCTTAGAGACAGGGTCTTCTCAAAATCTGTAAAATTATTGTGAAGGAGCTCAAGTTCAAAAGTAGTTCATCATAATGACCATAAAATCAAGTGAAGGTGGCAAGAGGACTGCTTGTATAAACAAGGAGCTCCTGATTGGGCTTGAACATAAAAGAGAGGCGTAGGAAAGCTGGAATCATGAACAAGTGCCTCAGGAAGATTATAGAGCATTACCTGTACATGCAGGGATATAGTTAGGGAAGTCAAAGGCTACACAGAGTTGTCTCTGATGAGAGATGTGAAAAGCAGCAAGTTTGGTTCCTTGAGGTATATCAGCAGTAGACATTAGATTTCTTTTTTTCTAAAAAAATACATAGGCCTGCTGCTGAAAGAGGCAGGAACAGAGGAGATGGAAAAGGCTGAATTACTGACAGCCTTCTCAGCAGCATGTGGTGGTTAAGAGTTGCACTTGAGAAGAGTGGAAAAGTTGATGAAGGAAGTAGAGAAGAATCACATCAGAGAACATTTAAATTATTTTGATAAACAAAAAGTCTATGTCCCTAGTGAGATACACTTTTGAATGCTGAGGGAGCAGATTGGTGTCATTGCAATGCCAATGTACTATCTTGAAAATGTTATGGCAGTTGGAAAAAGTGACTGAGTTACTGAGGACTAGAAAAAAGAAAATCCTTCCATCTCCTATCTTAAGGAGGGACAGCAAGAAAGATGAAAAGAAAGATCTGGGGAAGCACTGCTTGATCAGCCTTACTTTGGTCCCTGGGTAAGGAATGGAGCAACTCATTCTGGAAACTATCTCCAAACATTCTAGGGAGAAGAAAGTGGTTAGTCATAGTCAAGCATGGGTTTTTAAAAGCACATTATGCCTGAGCAATGTGTTGCCCTTTTATGGTGAGATGACTAGATTGGTGGATAAGACAAGGGGATATTGTGTATCTTGATTTTGGCAAGACTTTTGTTTTTGTTTCCAGTAACATCCAAAATGATGAACTGATTAATGCAGTCTAGTTAAGTGAAGTGATTTGAAACGCTGAAATGGTTGTGACCAGTGGCATAAAGCTAGGGTCCAGTCACTGGCAGAGTACCCTAGGGGTTAATACTGGATTTTGGATTCCTGGATGGATTTCAATTGACCTCCCATTTAGCTACATAAGTTATATACTGTGATATGTATATCATGAATTTTTTTTCCTCTGTAAGAATGTTGACAGTAGTGATTTGGGCATAAATCATTCATTTGTGTTGGCACAAGTGTCACACAAGTCTTGCAAGCTTGTCAGTCTGGTAAATATTATTTGTCTCTTTCCTCATCTAAGATTGCTGTGTCAGTTTGTTATCTGCAAAACCAAACAAATTACAAGATTTTTTTTAAGGATGTGGTTTGCATAACAGCCTCAGGAAAACTGTATGTATATTTGCAAATAAGACTCCTTGGGTCTCTTTCTGAGTATTTTCAACTTGGTATGTGGCACTTGGTTTCTTCTATAACAGCATTGTCTACTTTAGAAAATAAACTGTTTGGCACTTCAAATTTGAGTTTTATCTAAAATTTAAAGAGACCCTAGTAGAGCAGCTGAATACTGTTACTGTCCTAGTCCCCAGGCTGAGCCCTGAAGTACATATTATTTTGCAGGGTTATATCTTTCTGAAACTAGGTAACATGTACCATGTGCCCTGTTCAATCTGTCTTCCAAAGAATTTATGTAGTTGAGGCATGACTTTAAGTCACAATGCATCTGGAAAGGAACATCTCTCCACAGTCCTGCTACTCAAAGGAGGTATGAAGACCTCTTTGGGGAAAACCCATGAAAAACAAGTGAAAAGACTTGTGTAATCACAGAAGTATAGTTTGAGGAGTGAGATTTGAACCTGTTTTTTGTGGTTGATGGCTTTGCTCTGAAAGAAGAGTAGGGTGTGCAGGTTTAAGTTTATTCCAACCAAATCTTAGTTCCTGAAGAGAATTAATCCTAGTTTTTAGTATGCTGACTGATTGTTTGTCTATTACAAGATTACAATATTGTCATCTATAATATTGCTGGAAAAATGTCTAGAATGACAATAGCTTACTGAATCAAAGAAAAATCATTACAAAGTAGTAGCAGTTTAACAAAAAAATACTTGTAATTCTGTGAATTACACTGACTAGGTGTAAGGGAGGAGCATGGAATGTAAGAGTTATGATTTATTTATTAATGTGGGATTTGAATCATTAATATGAAGGAAATATGTTTTTATGAAGTTATTTTTTATGTCCTTTTCATTTGGGAGAACTTTATTTCAGTATGAATAATTTGTATATAAAATAATTGCGCTCTCTGCCATGATTTAATTTCAGAGACCCCAACCTGCGCTGCAATGTGCGAATGCTGTGCAGCATGGAAACCTGGGTATTACAAGTGATTTTGCTGCTGAAGGTGGGGTCCTTCCAAGTCATGGTTCTGTTCTTCGAATCGTTGTTGAAAATGTTTTTTGCCCTGTCACTTTAGACATGCTGTATCAGGTAATGAGGACTGCTTAAAAAAAGTCACAATCTGTTTCAATGTTGCTACTGTAAATCCATTAATTATTATTTTTTTTAAATACTTGTGGTTCCTGAATCTTCTGTATGAGGACTGTCTCTTTAAAATAATTTCCCAAATTTAGAGATCTAGGATTGAAATAGTTGTATGTAAATGAAATTGAAGTAAACAGAGCTTCAGTACTCAGATTTTCATATTGTCTCATTTAGTTCCTTGCTGTGGAAGCAGCAACAAACTTGAATGGTTAATTCTGCTTTCTTGATGAGCTAGTGAAATACTGAATGTTATGAACTAGTGAATCCATATTTTAGCACTCTTTCTGCTGAGTAACCTTTGTAGTTTGCTTTATATTTACAGTTTTATGTTCACCTTTATAGCTCAGTGCAAGTGATGTAATATGCAAATTGCTTGTTAAAATCAAATATTTTTGATTGTTCATCTTTAGAATGGCATTTGACTACCTCTCTAACTTAGAATAATGGTAGGCTGTATTTATGAAAGCCATTGCTGTAACTTCTGCTAGGTGTTTGGCCTATGCTGTTGAAAGCTCTAAGTTTAAAAATAATAACTTGAAGACCACTTCTTTGCATCCAAAATATTTGTTGATATTTCACAAATATTGCAAAGCTTTTCATACTTGAAACTTTTGTAATTAATAGTAATTTATGCGGTAAAAACCATGCCCCATGTATGAGTTTCTTAAGTAATACAATTTAGAATAACTGGGATGATTTTGTAGGAACCTGCAGTCCTGGAAGATTCTTTTCCTGCTCTGCTAAGATCTCAAACAATAGTTGAGATAAAGAATAGCTTTAGCAACACTCTGTTTTTCCTCTTAAAATTTTCTGTTTCTCTCTATCTCCTCACCATGATACTGATTAACTAGTGTACATATTAGTTGCCACTTGGATCTAAACCTTTGTCTTTGAGTGTTGCTCACTCATTGCTGAACCTGTGCAAATACTATGTCAGCTGTTTAGGATTATTGCTGCATTCAGAATAACCTCAGAACAAACTCCTGTGGTTATGGAAGCTGTACTAGTTCTAAGAATGCAAAAGCAAAGAGGAAATTCATATTAATTTGCTTTCCTTTGATTTTAGTCTACTTCAGTGCAGCACAACAACATTTTCAGCATTTGAATTGCTCTCAACCACCTTTCCAATACGTCTTGAAAATTTAGCAATATTTGCAAAGGGATCTTATTTGGAGCTCTTAATGGGGGACAATCTCCTCTAATTAGAGCAGCACTTTGTGCCCAATCTAACTTTTACTTTGTATGGTAAGGTTAATGAAAATGAATATTTTCACTGACAAGTATAGCATCTTATGGAACACTACTAGGCAAGCTGTCAGTCCATACTTGGATTGTAGTTTGTAAATTGTCTTGCCTGTCAAAAAATTAATTTTTTTAAATCACAGTTTGCCTTAAAATAATTATCATATGAAGCTGAAAATTCAGTGTTATCTTTTCAGAAACAAAATTGATGTATACAGTGTGTTTAGGTTTAAAATCAAACTGGAATGAGTACATTAAATTTCATTACCTTAAAAAGGTCTATTAAGTTTTCTGGATAAACATGGAAAAACATATGTTGAAAAGCTGTATTTAGGCATTTCTTAAGAGGAAGTGCTTTATGTACAGGAACTCAAAGACTAATTTTAAATTGCTGTGAAAAGGTTTTTGTTCTGTTTTCTATGACTAAATGATGACTTCAGCATTAAAATCTTGTTTCTGAGAGATGGCAAAACTGGGTCCAAATGGTTGGGACATTAGTCTTGTATCGCTGATTCTTGGCCCTAAGAGGTTGGCAAGAGATGCTTATACTTATCTAGGTCCTTTCTTTCCATTGCAGACTTAATATTTCTCAGGGGTTTCTGCTTTCCTGACTTTGCATTGATTCTAACAGTTTGTTTGAAAACTAATAGTATTTCTCAAACTCACCTTTCCTCTGACTGGCCTTTTTTTTCCTGCACTTGCATGATACATCCTGGCTTTACATTTGTCCTCACTCTTTGTCACACTCCTTTGTTTAAACACCTTCATGTAATGCACACTCTCATTTTGAATGTATATATATTTAAATTCAGCATTTAAAAGTATTTCTGCAATGCTTATGTTTGCAATAAATCAAATACTATTTGATTATAAAGTATAGAGGTAGGTTCAAATCTAGGTCTTTGTCTTTCTTCTTTCCTTGTTGTTTTTTAGTTTAGGCAGTGGGTGTTAATAAGCACATCAATTATTTAAGTTGTATTTTATTCAACGGATTTGTAGAATTTGTCTAATTGACAATTACATTGTCAAATGTAATTTGTCTAATGTGCAGAACATAAAGGTGCATACCTTGAATGCAGATTGCAGTTCCCATCTCAACTGACTTCCAGTAACAAGGAATAATATTGATAGAAATAGACAGATCCACCAGGTCACCAGGTGGCTCTGTTGTGTACTTGAATCAATTTTGGGGTTTTTGACCATGGGATAATCTATTCAACACCTGTTCCACTGATACCTGATGTGATGTACCTTTCTCAGAGGGGAAAAAGTGTTCTAGTGTAGGAAGTAGTGGAGCTTGTTGACAGCTTTAAGCTAGCTTGGAACAGGGAAGGGTAATGTGTATAAGCTAGAGAACAAGAGGCTAGAGAGCAGCACTGTGGAAAGGGACCTGCACATCCTGGTCAATGGCAAGTTGAATATGAATCAGCAGTGCACAAGGTCTGGAGGGGAAGCCTTATGGAGAGTGGCTGAGGGCACTAGGTCTCTTCAGCCTGGAGGATTCTGAGGGGAGACCTTCTTGCAGTTACAGTTTCCTCAGAGGGGAAGTGGAGGAGCAGGTACTGATCTCTTCAGTGTTGTGACCAGTGACAGGACTTGAGGAAATTGCATGAAGCTGAGTTGGGGAATGTTTAAGTTGGATTGGAAAGGGTTTTTCACCTAGAGGGTGTTGGGCTCTGGAACAGGCCGTTCAGGGAATTGATCACAGCACCAAGCCTGACAGTTCCAGAAGCCTTTGGACAATGCTGTCAGGCACATGGTGTGACTCTTGGGGTGTCCTGTGCAGAGCTGGGAACTGCACTCAGTTGATGATCCTTGTGGATCCCTTCCAACTCAATGTGTTCTGTGACTCTATGACTTGTGAAGTCCATTTCAACTCTGATTCATTATTCACAATTTATCTGCAGACACTTGACAAATGCCTGTTTGGACTGTCCTTCCCTGTTTAGTTAATAAGCCATTGCTAATTCTTTAAAAACATTTTATCCATCTTTCCTTTCTTTTGTAGTCTTTCTTTAATTATTTTTTTTACCTGAAACAAAATTCTGAGTTCACACAATTTTTGTTCAGCTCTCACAACAGAAATATTTTTCAGAAATTTATTTGGAATATTAAATGCTAGCTTTTAGTGTGCATGAATTACTTGCTGCTTCTTATAGCCCATTTTTTTCCCTAACAGATTTTCTCTAAATTTGGCTTTGTCTTGAAGATTGTCATGTTCCATAAGAACAATCAATTTCAAGCTCTGCTCCAATATGCTGATGCAATGAATGCATATTATGCCAAAATGGTAAGTATAATGTATTCAGCTTGATTTTGTTTGTTTGTTGGGGGGTTTTCCTTGCTAAGGGACAGGGGAAGCATTAGGAATATTTTGACTGTTAACTTTGTGATATCTCACCATTCTAACACTTTTGTTGCACATGAATAACTTTGATGTCTCTTTTTATTTAAGAGGACAGAACTCTATCATCAACTGCAAACAAATCTATAGCATATACTCCAGGACATGCATGAGTCTGTCAAAATGAAAATCATTGATAATAAAAACTCTGTCATCTTGAGGCTGAACAGGCCCAGCTCCCTTTTACTTTTATTTGTGAAAGAGACGCTCCAATTGCTTAATCATCTTTGTAAGTCTACACTGAACCCATTCCAAGAGCTCCATGTCTCTTTTGGGCTGAGGAGCCCACAGTTGAACACAGCAGTCCAAATGTGGCCTCACCAGTGCTGAGTAGAGGGGCAGGATCACCTCCTTTGACCTGCTGGAAGTGCTCTTTGTAATGCATCCCAGGATGCCTTTGGCCTTCTTGGCCACAAGGACAGATTGCTAGCTTACAGGCATCTTGTGGTGGTGCACAAAGATACACATTCTTTGTAAACCTGCTTTCCAGCAGATCAGGCCCTAATCTATGCTTTGCATTTGCCTTTGCTGAATTTCAGAAGGTTCCTCTGTGCCCATCTCTCCAGGCTCTGAGGTCCTTCTGAAGGGCTGCACAGCCCTCTGGGCTATCGGCCACTGCTCCCAGCTTTGTGTTGTCAGTGAAATTGCTGAAGAGGCCTCTGCCCCTTCATCCAAGTCATCTTTAGTTCTCATATAAAGGAAGCAGGAGGTAATTAATAGTCAGATGTGTGTAGAAGAGCTTTAGCAATTCTTTCACGACACCTGTGATTCAAGTCCCAGAGAGGCAGACTGGTAACCTTTTTAGACCAATGATCAGGTCAGCAGATGGGTGCCTCTGTGTTGGCAGGGCATCACCTACAACAATTATGCACCACTTCTGGGTGTTCTTGGGCACAGGATCTGTCCACTCTGTTGTTTCACTTTAAGTCATGCCTAGGATTAGGACTTATATTGGAAAAGACCCTAAGGTCATTGAGTCCAATGATAAACCTAATGCTGCCAAGTTCAATTCTAAACCATGTCCTGAAGCACGACATCTGTACATCTTTTAAGTACCTCCATCACCCACCAGGGATGGTGACTCCACCACTTGTCTGTTTTAATGCCTGATAGCCCTTTTGATGAAGAAATTTTTCATAATATCCAGTCTAAACTCCCCTTGCAGAACTTGAGCCCATTTTCTCTTGTCATGTCACTTGTTTCACTTGTCATGTCACATGGGAGAAGAGACTGACTCCTACCTTGCTACAGCTTCCTTTCAGGCAATTGTAGAGAGCAGTAAGGTCTCTCCTGAGCCTCATTTCCTCAGAGCAGACAACCCCAGCTCCCTCCAGCACTCCTTATGGTACTTGTGCTTCAGATCCTGCATTAGAGTCCTTCATGTAAGGGTCAGTTCATGCAGTTAAAATTTCCAAATTAGTGTTCCTATTACCATCTGATATTGTGTGTTGAATGGGAGAGAAGTAATATTAGAGACATAAGAAGTCAAGTCATGCTTAAAGCTGTGTTTTGTCCAGATGACACAAGGTGATATAATACTAACTAGTAGACTACACTAGTAGTTTAGGTAAGCATAGTCTCAGCATAATTGTATACTTGGTGTTTAAAAAGAGGGCTTAATAGCAGAAGGTGAATTACTGTTTTGATTCAATTGCAAAGTGAAAACTTTATAATGGTAGAGTGGTTTGGATTGGAAGCAACCTTTAAAGGTCATCCAGTCCAATCCCCTGGAGTGAGCAGGGTCACCTTCAACTAGATCAGGTTGCTCAGAGCCCTGTCCAATGGGCATCAGACACCTCTCAGGGCAACCTGTGCCAATGTTTCGTTACGCTCATTGTGAAAAACTTCTTCCGTATAGGTAATCCAAATCAACCATTCCAGTTTAAAACCATTACCCCTTGTCCTATACCAACCTGCCCTAATAAAAGATCTGTCCTGATCTTTTTGTGGACCACCTTCACATCCCGAAAGGCTGCAATAATAATATAAACGTACAGTGATGGCTGCCATGATGTGTTTTATCTCTGAAAATGTAATTATTTTTCTTCAGTCTCTGGATGGCCATTGTATCTACACTGGCTGCTGCACTCTGCGTATTGATTTCTCCAAGTTAACTAACCTAACAGTGAAGTACAACAATGACAAAAGTAGAGATTTCACTCGCGTTGACCTTCCTTTTGGTGATGGCCAACGAACCATGGAGGCATCCTTATCTACTCCCTTTGGTAAGAAACCTTCACTTCTAGTACTAAATACACACTGAGATCATCATTTTTATGTTGCATTTATGCTTTGGCTTCCTATCAGGTGCATAGAGGGGTACATTTTGCATATATTTTTGTTTGCTATGTCCAATAAAATTCTTACGGAAAGCATGAAGTTGAAGTCTTGGTAAATCAGTATCTGAAATAGTAATATGAGGAACACTAGTGGGCAAATTTTAGTGTTGTAAAAAAGCTACAAAATACTACTAAAATGCTGTAAAATTGTATAATTGGTACAGGTAATGTAGCAAATATTGCATATCAGGATGGAAGTCATCACAAATTGACACTGGCTGCCTAAAGCTGCTTGAAAATAAGTGTTGTAAGGGTATTAGCTCCTATTTTTTTTATATTTTAGGATAATTGAGTGCTGCAAGAAACAAAACTGTAAGAAAATCCAAAATGCTATACTTATTTATATATAATCTATACTCATATTTTAAAATATAAATTTAAGAAATTTTCTTAAATTGTAGAAGTCATTTTGGTGTAGAGAAGACAGTGTCTGCTTGAAGTGAAACTGGAGAAATGCTCACAACACAATTTGAGTGATTTTAGCTGATTTTCTCTCTCTCTAATGACAACTATTAGCAATAATACACAATGAAGAACTAACTTAGCTGTTGAATAGATATCTAAGTGCTGTCCAATTGATTATCACAGTAAAAAGTGTGGGAGAATAACTCCCTATTTTTCTTTACTTTTCTGTGTCAGCTAGGACAAATACTGGGTTTTGTTTGATTGTTTTGAATAATTGAATTAGCTTAGATTAGAATAAGAAAGTGAGTTGCACTCGCTACTTTCTTGATTTTTGTCTTTACTGCTCCCCTTAAATTCAGGCCTTGGATCTTTAGGTAATGGACAAATGTCATTACAGTGTGGGGCAGAGGAGGATGGTGGAATTTGCCATGCAGCATTACAGAAATGTGCTATTACAAGTTTAATATATTCTAATTAATTAGACTTGCATTATTTGAAATGTCAGTGGAAGGGAAAAGTACAATTAGAGTAGATTATTTCTGCACTTGCTTGTAGGGCAGAAATAACTATGCTTTTGGAGAATAACACATGAACACTTCTCCCTATCTTCCTCCTCACTCTCCAAGCTTCTCATTGCTAGGAGCCTTGTTTTCTTTTACTGTAAGAGTAAGAAGTGCTGGAATAGTCTGATGTCTGTAAAAAAATTTGTCTGTGGTACATTCATAGTGAAGCAGCTGCACATTTATTAAAAAAACAGTAAAAAATATCTGTAAATGGGAGAAGTTTGCTTCCTAGCCTTTCTGTCAGTATTGACAACATGCACATATTGTAATTGGCATGTTCTGTGAAGCTCAGTTACAGAACATGAATGAAAGATGTTTTAAATCATGTGACTACCTTCACTATTTCCTATTACTAGTGGAAGTAGTTTTGATGTAGAATTATCAAACAAAGCTGGTAACTGTCAGAATAATATATCTGTTTTTTATTGTAGACTTGAAGTCATCTTAATAGCAAAACTAAACTGTTCTTGAGACTTCTTTTTCTTCTTCTTTCTTTAATTTTCTTCTGCTTTCTGTGGAAAAGATACTGCACTATAAACAGATTTTGTGCATATTCTGCATTTAAAGAGTTCTTGCATCCAGTGAGCAGAAATACCTGAATTGGCTTGCTTCGAAAGCTAGGCTGATAGCCATGAAACAAATGAATTAAAAAAAAAAAAAAAAGGCAACAAAGAATTCTAGATCTTTCTGCATTAGTTCAGTTTGAAAATTTTTACATTCCTGATTTTGGTATCAAGGTGCAACATGCAGGTCTTATTTGGCAGAATAAAACTTCTTGATCTATTTATTTATTAATGTTTCCGTTGCAATTCTTGGATTGTGAATAAGTGATTCATAACTATATTGCCAGAACTTGTCAGTATAATTTCAAAAATGTGTTTACTTGCTTTAGTGTCATAAAGGTGTTCAGTTTTTTGTATGAAAGATGCTTTTTTGCTACAGATAAGAGGAGGTGTAATGTGATGCAGTATTCATGGATACTTGATCTGTGGTGTCTGTTACATTTCTTTTTGTAATTCAAAATAGATACTTTTTTTGGTATTGTATTATCCCTATTGATAATCATTTGTTAGTAGCTCTATTTTGGTCAGTAGTGTGGAGGTTTGAGTAGTAAAACAGACATATTACCAAGCTTGTAGAATGTTTTCTAATTATACATGCCCCATTTGAAAAATTAAAATCTGGTGTGTCCTTACATATGAATGAATCCACAGCTCAAGCTTGTATCTAAATGCTTAGAATACAGCTTTGTGAGGTACCCTGAGTAGCACTTGACTCCACATACTAATGTGGAAATCACTGAGCTATCTTTGATGCTGGGACTCTCCATATGTTGCTATTCCAAATCTGGTTAATGCTTGCGATTTCCAGGGGAACTATAAAAAACAGTGGTTATGTATGAAGTTACACAAACTGGGAAAGTGCATCTCCTTAAAAAGCAGAATTTATATGCTTTATGCATTTTAGCAGCTAGTAAAATTTAGAACCTTAGATTAGTTGTAGAAGTTTGTATTGTTTAGCTTATACTGATCTTAGTGTTCAGGAGTTGTATCTCATCATTGCAAAACATCTTTGACTGTATTTACTTGCAGAAAATTTCTAGAGTACATGTCCATTGTGTGAATAGAAACCATTGAACACAGGCTTTAATGGATACTAGTCTCTGCTGTGCTTTCCTATTCAAACTTATCTAATTTATATTTTGTCCAGATTTCATTTTAGAGAGGAATGTTGAGGCCGACCAGAATATTTGCTTTCAAAAATGGCTGAAAATTGTCTTTGTACAACATAGAATCTTGGATTTCAATTAGAGTTTTAACCCAAAAGTTTTATAAACATTTGGAATCACATATAAAGTCAAAATAGTAATACTGGTAGCTGATTCTGATTACTGAAATCTCTTCTGTTTTCTAAAACTTTTAAAATCTGCTTTAAAAAAATCTATCTGTTCTCTCTAGCTACCCAAAATACCATAATTCCATCATATACAGGGCCTCCTGGGTTTGCCCCAGCCTTGGGCTTTCCTCAGGGAGCAGGTAAGTTTGTTTTCTAAAAATTTGGTGTTTGTAGTTATGGATAGCCTATCTGAATACATCCATTCAGAGCCATTTGTTTTAAAATACAGCAACCAGAACAAAGTATTAATTTGAGTAATTGTAACTCTTTCTCATATATATACACTCAATAAAATAAGTTTCTGTAATAAAAATCATATCCTGATGTAGTTTATCATTCATTAGGCAAAGAATCTAATGCCATGATAAAAATTCACTGCAAGAGAAGAAATTAAGCATTTATTTTTTTTCTCAGAATCATAAAACTGCTATGACATTCAATGCAAAATGAGGGAAGTCTCTGCTTTTCTGGCTATCAAGAGTTTTTAGACTGTGATCTTTCCCTTTCTAGCACAGGATAAACTTGGGTGCTGAATTATTTTTTTTCTTTTTTGGGCTGCAATTTATGCAATCTTTTGTTTGGGTCTATTTGTATAGCTGAATGTTTCTTTTTTCTATGAAAGGGAGCTGCTTCTTGCTTTATTGGTCAGATACTAGTAATAACTAAATTCCTTAAAATAATTTTTAAATTGGATATTGATGTTTTTGCCAAATACAACCTGCTTGTGTATTCTTCCTTACCCACTTTGAGATGTCAAGTGATGCTATTTATACCTTTCCAGGTCCTTCTGTTCTGCCTGTTCCTGGAGCACTTGGTCCTTTCACAGTCACCACATCAGCAGCACCTGGACACATGACTATTCCTGGTATTCCAGCAACCTCCGTTTTACTAGTCAGCAACCTCAACCCTGAAGTAAGTTTGATTGGTGGAACTGATGTGTCACCTTGTACCAACTGCCAGAATCCTTGAAAACTGACGTTAGCTGAAGGAATAAGAAAAATTCTCTATGCTGATAATATAAAAAACAGGACACATCTAAACTTGTTTTAGGTAGCTAGCAATATTGGTGAGGTTTAAAAACTCCCATCATCAGTGAAAAGCTTCCTAACACAGTTTACTTTAGAAACCCTATGTTAGCAGTGTAGCTAGTAATTAGAGAGAAGTCTATGGTCAACTGTAAGAAATGTTTGAAGATGTGATAATTTCTTGATATCTCAGTTAATATGACTTCTCTGTGTGCTTTTTTATCTGTAAAGAAGGCAAAGGATTTTTCCTTACATTGGTTAAAAAACAAGGAATTAAATGGAAAGGAGGAAACAGAAAAGGAAATAAAAGCATGCCAGATGTTTTTCTAAATATGTGTAGGATCTTTCTAGTTTTGCAACTTTTTTGAGATTGAAGAAAAAGAACATGGGTACATTATGTTATTGACATCACTCTACATTTATTTTTAAAAGTTAATAAATACCCATGTTCACTTTTCATGGTACCACACAGATGATTTTTTCATATGGTGGCAGTAAAATTACCAAGGACAACTTGGAAAGTTATTTTTGTAGTGGAAATGACATAGGCTGGTCTATAATCTTCCTCATGTTATTCGAACACTAATCTGTTCTTAATTAAAAGCATTATACATCATCTTAAAATAAATTAAACAAGCTTTACCAGGGCCTGATTTAAAACATGATTCTTTTTCACTATTGATAAGCAGTCCTGTTGCAGCAATGTAAAATTCTTGTTGCACACACTCCATACATTTCCTTAACTGTAAAACTGTTAGGAGCTGTCAGCAAAATTGAACTTCCCTTGAAATTCTGAGGTTTAAAAATCTATTCACCAGTTTGTTTTAAGTAATTGCTGTGTTTCTGTTTTCATACTAACAGCCAAATTCACACTAAGCATCCAAAACCCAGATGTACACAGGGCTGTAAGACAAGTCACTTTTTTCTTTAATTTTACAATATATCAGTGAGTTTCTGATGATGGCTGCAGATGTGCTTTCTGCAGCTGACTATTTATTTTCTGAATCTAAAAGGAGAATGCCTCTTAAAAATAAGCATTTATGAAGCATAGGTCAGAGCTCTTTTTAGGACATTGGTGCTTTACTTAGTACGAATCATAGCTAAGAATTAATGTAGAACTTAGTGCTGTAATGCATGATACGATATCAATGTATTAAGTAATGCCCAACTTCTTAAAAGGATAAAAATAAGAATGTACTACAGTATTAATTGTTGGAAATATATTTCTTGGCAGTTCTGTAGCACTTGCTCTTCAGTATTGGTTGTCTGACCCCGTCACTCCTTTTTATTTGTATAGAAAATCTGGTTGACCTTATTTCAGTTCATATTTCTCTCCTGTTGCAGAATTTCAGTGTGCATTTTAACATTCCTTCATGACTTTTAAATTATCTGGTTTTGTCTTCCATTCTCCTCCCCCTCCTTTTTTTTAAGTAGAAATATTTCAGTCTCATTTGAATAAGAAATTTCTATTTAAAAACCGAAATCTCCATCCTGAATTTAAATATTTGAGTCAGAAGAATAAATTCTATATGAATTTAAATATTTGGGCCAGAAGAAAAACCTCTTGATGAATTTAGATTTTACATTGATAGCAATTGTTCTCTACCACTAAATGCTGAAGATAAACAGTATGGCCTTGCGCTTAGGCTGCAATATCTTCTTTTTTTAATAATTTAGGTATGTTTGGTACACATTCAAGAAGTTGAATTGAGAAGGAATAGGGCTAGAGAGTGCGAGTAGTGCTTTTGATATGCAGGTATTTTTAGAACTCATTAATGGCAAAACCTTTGCCTCAACTGAAAAATTTTGGCTGCATTAGATGGTAAATTGTCTTCTTTAGTACTTGGCATACAAGATTTGTATTGAGAATCACTGAAGAGAAATTTCTTTCAATATTTACCTTTCTATTTGCAGCTTCTAATTGAATACAATTTAAATACCACTTTCTATATGCTTAATACATAAACAGTTAAATTCTCTGTGTCTCCATTTAGAATGTCATGGCCATGTAGTGGAATGGGGAAAAAATTGAAGACAAAGCAAACACATTTTGAAGCAACTGGGTTTAGTTTTGTTGGTATTGTCTCTTGTTTACAAAATACAAAGAGTTCTTTAATGCTTTATTTGTAATTTAACCAATGTCTTTCATTCTTTTCATCGAATGAGCAGGGAGCTTAGGAAGGCTAAGGTCAAATAATGAAGCTACTTAAAAAATTAATAGCTTCTGCAATATGATAGAATGAGTCTTGAGTGATGAAAATGTATGAGCTGAAGTGTTTGCTTGTTTACATATTCTACATGTGCATAGCAAATGTGTATTAACAAGAGTGCCATACACTGTGATTATTTCAAGGAATAGCTTTTGGAGAGACAGGTTTATGTATTAGTATGCAGCATCTCTTCCATTCTTTTTGTTTACTATGCACTTACAGAATAGATGTCTTCATTTGCATGGCTTTAGAAATAATGTACTCATTTTATCATTTAAACAGGCCATCACACCTTATGGACTTTTCATCCTCTTTGGTAAGATATGTCAACTATACCTTGACAAACCACAGGGCTAGTGGTTCTTTTTTTTTTATCTGACCCATGCCGCTTAATTCAAACTCCATTGCTCTGTGCACATCCAGGAAATGAACTGGTTTTAAAATGGCAGTAAGCTGAGTCATTACATAAAAGCCACAGATACCAAAATGGCTTAACAGTTAGTATAAGAAAAATTTTGGTGTGTGGTCCAATTTGTTACTACAGAAAATGGGAAAGCAAAGTAAGATGTAAAAACAGAGGTTGCATCAGAGGAAATGCTGTACAGAATTGGCTCATACATTAGTTGCAGGGGACAGTGTTGGGTAGAGTAATATTTTAATATGCCTCAGTTAAGAGAACTTTGACAACTATTGCACTATTTACAAACTGGACATAAACATGCAGTAGTGTGACTGGGATCTGGGGAATTTCCCTCCACTTACGAGCCCCAGAATATAATAAACTTTAAAACTCTCCTTATACTAATATTTTAACCAACCTGTTTAATGAGGTATTATTCTTTGTAACACCAATGTTAGTCAAAAGAAACAGACTCGACCTTGTGCTTTAGTTAGTAGTGCTCTGAAAAAAATTTCCTTTCTGGATTTCCACAGGTGTGTATGGTGACGTGCATCGCGTGAAAATCATGTTTAAGAAAAGAGGAATTGCTTTAGTTCAGATGGCAGATGCAACCCAAGCTCAATTAGGTATTGATTTTTAAGGCACAATTATGCTTCAAGCTAATATGAATTTAATATAAAGGAGGAATTTTTCATCTGTCAGTGACAAGCATAAACAAATAAAATTCATCATTGTGCTGCATTACTACATGCAAACTTTGATAATACTCTTAGTGGTTTTAAAAAAAATAGTCCTATGACTCTCAATATAGTAAATAATAGAACTAAAACATACAACTCTCCTGTCATTTACTTTAATAATACATTGTATTGTTTTCTTGTAATTTATCTTATATCTACCTATTTAAGAATGATCAACTTATCTGTATTGAAATGCTGTTTGCATTTTTTTGGTGTTTGAACTGGAGATTCTATTATACCCTTATACTTTTTAAAAATGTAATGTTGTGACATAGCCCACCTGGTAGATGTGGAAGTTGCAGTTTAAATTTAGAATGTGAAATCTGACACCAAGTAGAAAACAGTATTCAAAGAATTGTCTTTTATTCCCCTCCATTAATTCCTGTTCAAATTACATTTCCACTGGTTAGCTATCAACTACTTGAATGGACAGAGGCTTTATGGAAGGGTCATGCATACTACTCTTTCAAAATATCAGACAATTCAACTTCCTCGTGAGGGACAAGAGGACAAAGGTCTGACAAAGGACTATAGCAATAGCCCTTTACATCGCTTTAAGAATCCCTGCTCTAAGAATTTCCAAAATATCTTTCCACCATCTGCAACCTTGCATCTGTCCAACATCCCGTGAGTATCTGCATGTGTCATCTTCTTGGAAAGATATTTTTTAGGTGGTGTTGTGAAGTTAAAAAGTCTAACATAAGGTTTGGTTTTCTTTCCTTGGCCTTTTACAATTCATTCTGCTGTGGGTCGTTTTGGTATGTTATTAACAATAAGTGAATCCTTTAACTGTCCCATTTTTATCATTAGCAAACAGGATAACTGAAGGAATTATCTTCTTTGAGTTTTGATCACTTTATATTTTTTTTCATATATTTTATGTACTTTTGGTTTTTGACATTAAATCATGTGTCACAAATTTTCACAAAGGTTAAAGACATGGTTTTTGAGGTAATGTACACGACATCAAATTCATCATGGACATTGTTATTTAATATAGATACAGTGTTTAATGTTTGTCCTGGTTCAGGGCAAATTTGGGAGAGAACCCCAAAAGGGGCTCCTCTAGGAAAGCAGATTCAATTGGCCCCTCCCCCCGACCAGTCTGGGAGAAACTACCTCCTTGGAGAAAAGTGGAAAAAACCTGTTTATTAAACAGTAAAACCTAAACAATATTAAAGAATAAAACCCCTTGCTGCTCCAAAAGAGATGGCAAACTGAGAAAGTCCCCTCCCCAGGTTGCAGTTCAGCTCACTCAGTCTCTGGTCAGTCCCTCGGGTGCTGGAAATGCTGCGGCCCAGGCCCGGCCCAGTGGGCCCCAGGTGTCAGCTGCCGGTGCTCTGCTGGGTGTTCAGTCCAGAGAAGGTTTAAACAGCTCCAAAGAAAAGGGAAAAAACCACAGTCCACGGAACTTCTTTGCCTCAGCTAGCTAAACTAACTAAAAGCAAAGGAGAGCTCTGTCCCACTGTCTGTCCATCTGCAGACAACACAGTCTAGGAGCAGGAATGTGGAGGAGTGAGTGCAGTGTCTGAAAACAAACTGCACGCTTCTTCTCTCCCCCCTTCACTCTCTGGAACAAGTCTTAAAGGTGCAAAGCTTATTATTCAGCATAAAGAGAACAAGAAAATTGGGGATAAAAGCATCATATAGTCAACCTAGGACAATAATTCTAACTTTTTAAAGAACAGTTTCTACCAAATTCAGATATCTTACATGGAGGGCAAGTTGTGAGAAAGTTAAAAGCATTTAGTGTACTCTTTAAGACTGAAATAATCTTTTTTATGTCTAGAATATTATCAGTAGTGTGTGGAGTAACAGCCAAACATAGGTTTTACAGGCTTCTCTTGTTTGGCAGCTGTGCAGGGAGGAAAAAAGGAAACTATCAAATTTTGCCACAGTAAGAAAATACATTATAAGACACTTTGAAAACAGCTTTTTGAGTAAAATGAAAATATTTCAAAATTGAACATATGTGACGTGCACTTGCACAAATTGCAAGATGAAATGTGTTCCTTAAGATTTTTAGGAGATTTTTATGCAATCTGAATTTTACTGACAGAAAAACAGGATTGGATGAAAAACAATAGTGTCTAAAATATTTTTGTAGCACAATGTGATACTAAAATATAGAGTAAATGCAGGTGTTTTGAGCTGAAGTGTTTGAGTTGATGGAGATAAATTTAAACAGCACAAAGTAGTTTAGAAGCCAAAATTGAGATCTTGATGTTATTTCAGAACTCTGTGCTCTTCTACAAGTTGAGGGGAGTTTGTTTTTGTTTTGTTTGTTTTTTGTTGTTTTCAATTAGGCCTTCTGTTACTGTTGATGATTTGAAGAACCTTTTTACAAGTAAAGGATCTACTGTGAAAGGCTTCAAATTTTTCCAGTAAGTTCTCTTGCAAAATTGCTAAGCAAGCTTCCATCCTAGAAAATATCTAATTGCTTTTTTGTGACTTTATATGTGTACACAACTACAGGCAAAATTCTATGTACATATTGCTATAGTCAAAAGTGGTACATCTATCACAATTTTTATGATACTTTGTCTTAAAATTTTAAATGGAATACTGGGTTAGCATAACTAAACTGAAGATAGGCAGCCTTTTGACAAACTCCATGTGTGTTCAAAGTAAAACAAGTTCAAGGAAAGTAAATGCTCACTTCTTGAAAAAACACAAGCTTTGTGTAAAATGCCATATAAAAATGACAGTGATGACAATGTATCTACATTAATTAAGGTTAGTTGGCAGTATTATTTTAGCATGATCATGCTTGCTAGAATAATCCCATATATATGGACAATGCAAGTATTTCTTAGGGGTCTTCAAGCCTTATTTTGACCCAGCTTTTTGATATCCGGTGTAATGAAAGAATGACATGACTTTAAGCCATAGATTCACAAAATTTATGTAGTTTTTTTCTCTTTTCATTTTGGCAGATGCATAAATAGCTCTGATTCTTTTGCTGTAGAACTGTGTGTAATATAGCTGAGAAAAAAAACCCCACTTAGGCCACTTTTCTGTGTTGACTATTGAAAATTTGGTTAGGATTAATAATAGTTTTTATTGTTCTTCAGGAAAGATTGCAAAATGGCTCTTATCCAGCTGGGCTCTGTGGAAGAAGCAGTTCACGCTCTCATTGAGTTTCACAATCATGACTTTGGAGAAAACCAACATCTCAGAGTTTCCTTCTCAAAATCTTCAATCTGAATTTTCTGTGAATTTTCCCTTTAAGGCTGCAAAATGGTTTTAGTAAAATCTTCAAATAGAGACTGAGACAGCTCTGACCAACTCTGTCTCTTAAAAGAAAAACCTCATTCATACACAAAGAATTAAGTGATTATTTTTTTCTGATTCTAGCTGCAATTATGTCATCCATAGAAAGATCTTCTGTGAAATCATTTTAGCAACAATATTTATCATCAAATTTCCTACTTAAAATTTTATGTTTTGAGACCATCCTTTCAGCTTTTGTTTGAAATCAGCCTTACAAAACAATTTTGAGTGCTTTTACAGTGTACCAAATGAGTATGTTTAAAGAAAAAGTAAACCTACTCTGTGCAGATTAAACACTAATTTGAATGTGAAATAGTGCTTGGGTTTCTTGAAGAAAAGCAAACAGTAACTGTGAGTATCCTCTAAATAGTATTTATGTTACCAAAGTGTGTGTTCATACTTTGGTGAATCTTTAAAAATAACTTGTTTATAAAAATAAAAAGTCTGTGCTGTTCTTATAGATTAAATTATTAGAGAAAAGGCAGTGCCTTCTCTCTGTGGAATAAAAGTATTTGACAAGTTTCTTCAAGGTGTGGTATTGGAAAATTAGTTTGACTTGACTGTGGGTTGGAAGTTTGATATCCTATTTCTACTATGAAGGGATGTGTAACAGTACCTTGGAGAAAATAAAAAAAGAAAATGGTCTTGATTTAAAATAATTTTTTTTACATTTCTCTAAATAATTAAATGTTTGCAATCTTGTGGAAAATATTCAGGTCTGTGATGGTTTCTCAAGTTTTTAAGAAGTTATTTTTGCTAAGGTCATCTTTCAGGGCAGAAAAATTAGATCTCGAGGTTTTTTACCACTCTATAGTCTAATACTTAAATTACTGTGTATTTACCTAATTTCTTACTTTGTGCCTTACTATATGTGTATGAATAGATTAGAGTGTTACCTGAAGTGTCTTGCAAAAATATTGTGGGCTTTGTGAAAATTCTCCTCTGTGTCTTGTAAATGTTTTCCACAATAATTCAAGATATATTTTTTCATTAATTAATTAATATTTTGAATTCTAGTTTCTTGTGCTTTCTTATGGAGATTGGATGTAGACAAGACTGAGGTTTCACTTGTTGTGAAATCACATAGGGATTCTTTAAATTTACCTAGTTGCACTTCTCTGATGGTAGTTCTTCACTGATAAAAATTTCACACCCAGAAAAAATATACTAAAAAACCAAATAAACTTATATAGGAGGGCCAAACAGCAAATCCAGTTAGTTTTCTGGACTTCATCTGACTTTTTGAGACACACTGGCTGTATCAGAATATTTTTTCAGGTTTCTGCATTTCTTTTATTTTTAATACTTTACAGTATTAAACTTAAAGTAATAGAGTACTATCATTCTTCTCTTTCTAAGTATGAAAAAATGTTAGATACTGAATCTTGATTCCTCTTTGGGGAATGAGCTGAGATGCAGTTAGGTTTTGCCATGAGTGTACAGATGAATACTAATGACTGATCATATTTTAAAAAACTAAATTTAATTTTAAGAGCTTTTTTCCCCTAGTATTTTCTTTCACATAAATTAATTGAAAATTCATTTAATTTTACTTACCACATTTTAAAGACCTATTTCTTTCAAACATGGCATTTATTTACTTCTAACTATTGCAGAATTTTTCTCCTGTAATGTTTTGTCACTCATAATTGTTTTTGTTCATCTGAATTGTATGACTTTATCTTTCTAGAAGAAAAAGTATGTTTCTACCATGATCTGAGTATTCTGTAGTGAGCTTTCTCAAATTTTCTCCCTGAATTATTTTTGCAAAATCAGCCTTATAGTAGCTTGCCAGATACTACCTTGATCTATGTAAATTGATTACAGGTGTAGTATTAAGGGAACTTCCCTGCCTGACCATCTGGGAGCCACTCTGGCAGTCACTCCTGCACCACCTGAGCTGGACTTGGGGCTCTTCCCAGTTACAGCTCCCACATTCCCACAGTCAGAACAGGTTTCCTTACTGGGCTGACCCCAGGTTTCCCATAGCAGGCTCAGGCATCCCAACCATTAAAATCATTTCATCACAGCACAATTACAAACAAACAGCTCGGGCTGGTGTCTCTGGGGAGGGACCCAGAACAAAGGAACCCCTGGGCTTTTATCCCCTCACCAAGCACGGGAAGGTCTGGGACCGTTGGCTCCTGCCATGTCCCAGTGTCCGGTCCCCTGGCTGGGCCACAGGTCCCCGGGCCCTTGTGTGCCCAGGGTGGGCTCTTCAGGGCCTCTTTGCCTGGGCTGCCCCAGCCTGAGCTTAACCTGCAGCTCCCACTGCAGCTGCACCCCGAGCTACCTCAGTGAAACCTGTTCCTCAACAGTAGCAGCCAATCTGACTGTACAGATGTAGCTATATTAAGTGCTGTACAACACAACTATATAAATATGCAGAATGTACTATGTACTGGAAAGTTCAACTGGCTTAGAAAAAATAATCCCCTAAGGGATGATATCTTTTGGATTTCACAGAATCACAGAATGGTGTGGGTTGATGTCCATGAAGTTCTCACAGTCTCACTGCTCAGTCTGTCCAGATCCTTCTGGATGCTATCCTTTCTTTCCAGGGGTGCTGACTGCACCATATAGCTTGATGTTGTCAGCAAACTTGCAGAGGGTGCAGTTGATTCCACTGTCCATGTCACCCACAAAGCTGTTTAACAGCTCTGGTACCTGATTATCCTTACAGAACACTGCTCATTATTGGTCTCCACTTGGACATCAAGCTGTTGACCATAACTCTTTGAATGTGGCCATCTAGCCATTTCCTTTTCCAGCTAGAGGTATACTCATCAAATCCATGTCTCCAGTCTAGAAACAAGGAAGTTTTGTGAGACAGTGTCATGCTTTGCACAAGTCCTGGGAGTTAACATCAGTTGCTCTTTTCTTATCTACCATTGCTTTAACTCTGTTGTAGACCATTAAATCTGTCAGGAATGATTTGGCTTTAGTGAAACCATCTACTTCATAATCTTACTGGGAAGCAAGGTGGGACTTCCAGCCTTATAGTTCCCTGGGTCTTTCTTATTTCCCTTTTTGCAAATGTAGGCTATATTTCCCCTTTGCAAGAAAAGCATTAGCTCTCACAGTTTCATAGACTTAAGCTGCTCAGAAAACCTCTTTTCCTTCCAGGCTACACGTTACTTCCACCCTCTGTAGCCTTTCTTTTTGTGTTTTGAGTTTATCCAGTAGTTCCTTGTTCATCTAACGCCATTCTGACATTTTTGCCCAACTTCCTCTTTGTTGGGATAATCACTCCTGAGCTTGGAGAAGATGATCCTTTAATTAAAGGTGATCCTTTAATAACAATCAGCTTTGTTGGGTCCCTCTTCCCTCCAGGGCTTTATCCCATGATACTGTATGAGGCAGATCCTGAGGAGGGCAAAGGCTGCTCTCCTGAACGCCAGGGTAGTGAGCTTTCTGTACACCTTCCTTGCTTTCCTAAGGATCTCAAACTCCATTTTGTGGTCTTTGCAGTCAAGTCTGCCCTCAAGCTTCACATTTTCCACCAGCCCCTCCTTGTTGGGGAAAAAAAGGTCCAGCATAGCACCTCCTCTCCTTGGCTCCTCCATCAATTGAAGAAGGAAGCTATCATCAATGCATTCTAGGAACCTTCTGGATCATTTATGTGCTGCTGTGTTGACAGATATTAGGGTGGTTGAAGTTCTCCATAAGGAACAAGATTTGTGTATGTAAGGCTACTCTTCTCTGTAAGGGGCCTCATTTTCTCTGTGTCCCTGGTCAGACAATCTGTAGCAGACACCCACTATAGAGCCACCTTCCCTTGCCTGCCTTTAATCCTGACCCATTAACTCTCAAGTCAGCTCCTCTTCCATCCCCAGGTGAGGCTCGGTGATCTCCAGCTGGTCATTGACATAGAGGGCAACACCAACTCCTTGCCTACCCTTCCAGTCTTTCCTGAAGAGCCTATATCCTTGCATTCCAGCAGTCTACTCTTTGGAGCCATCCCACTGTGCATCCATGACATACCAATGAGGTCGTAGGCATGTCCACATGTCTTACTCTGCTTGTTTTTTCCCCTTCTTATGTCCTCTTGCACAGATGCTTTGGAGTTGAGACTCTAATGAAGCTGACTTACTAGCTGGAGTAGCTGGAATTCCTTTGTATTGTTCTTCTGGTGCTTTTCTGCTGACCTGTGATCCCTCTACAGGCTCTGGGCATCTGTTGCTGGCATGGACACCAAGTTAATAGGAGTGGGATGTGTCGGGACCCATCCCCATATGGGCCACCAAGTGTTGGTGTCAGTGCTTGGCACCAGTTGATGGTGGATGGAAACTGACTGTCACCATCAGTTTATCATCTTACTGTAAAACTTTCATACCTTCTCTGTGAGTTCCCACAGGCAGCTTCTCACAACACTGACTCCTTTTCTTTCTGCATGGCTGGCTAACTCCTCCCTGTCCCTTGCACAACCACCTTATCCTTACCACTCCTCACAGCACAGCCAACAAACACCAGCTCTCCTCTCAACTAGCTAACCCATTCTTTTATAACACCCATCCTTACTGGACATAGCTGTGCCCTGTTAAGGGCAGACTGTTCCTACTCTTTGGTAATTAGTACAGCTGCAGCTCCTCAGGTGTGAGATTGCCTTCAGCACTATATCTATTCTCCTACAATCCACCCTCCCACAGGGATGGACTGAACATCCCTTCCCCCTGGCATCTTTCATTTAAAGCCCTTCTCACTAGCCTGGCAAGCCTGTGGCAGAAGATGCTCTTTCCCTCTTCTAACAGATGGACCCCGTCAGCTCTGAGTAGACCCAGTTTCTGAAAGCAAGTCCCATGGTGAATGCAGCCAAACCCCCAGCTGGGATACAGCCCCAGAAGCATTTGTTGGTTCACCAGATTTGACTGGCCCTTTCAAACACCTTTCCTTTGACTGTGAGCATTGATAAAAGACTGCCTGTGGAATCTTAAAAATTTTTAACTTAGAAAAAATTTGAGTGTTGGTATTTATTATGTTTGCTTTCTGATTTTGTGATAAAAGTATTGTGTATCTTGATTCACCTTTACTGTTCTGTTTTTGCAACCAAATTATTCTTGCCAACATACTTTTAGATTTGTGTGTATCTGAAAGGTGCTTCTTCTTAGGGAGATCCGCTTTTACAAGATATGCGATAAGCTTTGGAACTCGACAGTACACCTTAACATTTGCTTAGTAGCGTGAAGGCACTAGTTAAGGCTACTTTTTCCCTTTTAGTGTTCCACCTTGGAAAATTGAAAGCATAAACATAACACCTTAGTTATTACAATGCATTGTTAGTGAAGAAGCATGGCAGAAGGAATACTTTTTATACTTTGTGCTTGATTCATTAATGCCATGTGCAGAAGCACAGTTGCATCTCAGTTCTTGATTCTCTAAAGCCCTTGATATCTGTGAAAAGAGTAAGATTTGGGAAAGAATGATATTCTACAGAGTCTCATGGTGATGTGGATGGAATGGGGCCTCCAAAGGCCTTAGTCCCACCTTTCAGTCAGATTATAGATAACTTTAAGCAGTTCCTCAAAGAATTGTCCATGTTAATTTAAAAAAAAAATCAAATGGAACAAATTCTCTGTTCTTCACGGTTCCATTTGGCGGTCCTCAATGTGAATTTGCTTCCTTAATATGTAAGGCTTTAAACATACTACATTCTATGTCTTTTGCCTTTTTCCCTGTTACCTGCATAACTCTGAAGAGGATTCTGGCTTCATCTTCTCTATACTGTGGCCTTAAACTGTTAAAGATATAATTTCTTTAACATATGTTATTAATTTCTGTTTGTGAAATATCTGGTACTGTGTACAGTTTAAGTTGGAATTTGGGCACTTGGTGGGATTATTTGGGGCTGTCTTATGCAGGGCCAGGAGTTGAACTTGATGATCCTTGTGGGTCCCGTCCACTTCTGTATATTCTATGATTCTGTGACTGTATGGTTATGCCTCTGTATATGTCATGTCCTTGAATCAACTCTGAGTTACCTCCTAGTCCATTTTTTTTGATGGATGCACGCTTGGTTCAAAGTGTAATAAGGCCTTTTTAACAACCCAGGAGCAGCTAAGTGCCTTTTCAAATGATCCTTGATTTGTTATATAATGGTAAAACTTTTGTTTCTTTTAATTTCTGCAGAACTCTTAAAACATCAGAATGAACTTTTGAAACTTTGACTTATAATTTGACTCAGTTGCCTTGTCTGCTGGTCCTGTAAGTTGCACTGGATTTGTGTGCTGATAAATTGAGGTCCTTTTTATTCAGAAGATATTCCACATACCTGTGGAAACTT